TTATTGTCCTTGTTGCATCTGAAGAAGTGAGGTTTTTACCCACGAAAGCTTATGCCCAAATAAATCTGTTAGTCTTTAAGGTGCCACCAGACTCCTTGTTGTTTTTTTCCCTTTTTTCCTGTCTCCTTTTTCTGTATTAAATCTCTTTTGCTTAACATGGTTATCAGTAAAGCTGGCTTTATGGCTGGACTTAGGGGACATTGCACCTGGGTGTGCACACAAAACATTACAAATTGCAATGTAATGGCACAAAATGAGGCCCCGATTCTGCAGTTAGATCTGCACAGGCAGATCTTTTTGTCTGTATGGTGTCCCAGAGTGGGGTTCGTGATGGCTTCATGGGTCTGTCCACACAGATATAATTGCAGGATTGGGGCCTAAGTAATTACATTAATAAGCAGATGGTACTGCATGGTAACTCAGATATTGAAGTTGACCCCAGTATATCTCAATGGATTTTCTGATGGAAAATGTCAGTGATAGCAGGTAGCCTGTCTTACTTCTATTGATAAGATTCTACATTTATTTTCTTTAAATAGGGGATTAAAAATTGTTCAGAAAACAGAGCCTGCCTTCTTGTAATACATTATGTTTCTATTAGTACCAGTGGTTCACTACAAAAATGCATTTCTTTAAGAAATCTCCAGACTTATAACATGCTCTTTATTAACAGGGAGGTAAAGGACCATCTAAATTATGAACACAGAGTGTTTAATAGCGAAGAGTTTCTGAAAACAAGGGCACCAGGGGATCAGCCATTTTACAAAAAGGTAATTACATCCTTGGTGTGTTCTAATCACCTGTTAGCTTATTATTTTATTATTATTATTACAAAACACCTCAAATGAAACTATTGAAATTTGGACTATATTTTATAAGCTATTAGTTTTCATAACACATTGACTAGGCAAATATGATAGCATATTGTTCTCTGAAATTATTTTGTGTCTCTTCCTCGGGTGCAAATGAAACATATTTTTTCAAAGTGAAATTTTTCTTTTGCAAATGGCCGGCATGAGACTGAAGTCACAGTTAAGGCTTCAAAATAGGACTCAAGTGGGCATAGGTCTTGTGCTCAAAAGGGGTAAATTTTGCCTTAAGTGAGCCACAGAAATTTACCATCCAGGAAAATTAATCCTTACATTCAAGGGTTTTACACACCATGGTTTATATGGATGGTAAAGTCAATTTTGCAGCTAAACCTCTGGAAGATGCATTTTTAAATTTTAGGGATTAGATTTTAAAACAAGCAAACCCGAAGTTTGGAAGAAATATAAACCCTCATGTTTCAGGGTGTAAGTCAACGTCAAACTACTGAGGGTTGAAAAGATGGTTTCTCGATGGGCAGGTTATTCCATAACTGTCTACATCGGAGTTTGTTGCATGTTCCTCTGAAGGAGCTGGTTCTGACCGCTGCTGGAGACAGGATTCTGCATTAGGTGGACCCCTGATCTGACCCATTATGGCAATTCCTATTTAAGATGACAAAAGCAAAGGAATATAGGGTTTACATTATTTTTAATCTACTCATTTTGACAGTAATGTCACTTTAAGAAGTGTTGAATGCCTATGGGACAAAGTAGGAGAGTTTGAGGGAGTGGGAGCATCCAAAATCCTATCTGCCATTTCCGATTCACTCCTCAGAAGGAGTAAGATTGCAAGTGCACTTATAAAATTTACAAAAGCTTCATTTGTAATGATATTGCTACTTAGACAATTGGTTCTCCAGGAGCCGTGCTCTGAATCTGGCAAAGAAATCCGATCACTACCACTAATAGATTGTAATAATTAGTTTTCGCCTCGACTAGATAATGAAGCTTTTTGAGTTTGCTTCTCCAAACAACAAGTAGAATATTTTTGAATGACCTATTTCTAGAAGATGCCCAAGTTCGAAGGAAATGGGTCAAAACACTAACTCATTTTACTTAAATCTGTTCTGTAGACTATACTAATGTTCATGCAGATCTAATAGGACAAACTGCCAAATTTATGGTAGGATAATTTTTATTTTGCCAAGATTTTTATTGTGCAAAATATGTATGGCAAACAGAACAAGGAAAAAATGTACAAATCACGAAACAATCCACTAATATTTCTACGCAGGAATATTTCCTCAAGACAGCTTAAAATGTTTATAAAGACATTTCAAAGCCATAAAAAATGTTGCATACAATGAATTATTTGTTAAAAGCACAATTTGTATAATAGTTTCTAACACTTCATTGTAAACGGAATATTAGTAAGTTAAGAACTAAAATTGACATGTATATAATGCTTTACCTCTTCAAGTTGCTTTGAGGATTTGTGCCATCTAAGTCCTCAAAATTTACCAAAATAAAATCAAATGACCTTATTTTCTTAAATGCTAAATAGCCTAATGATACGTTCATTTACAACACAATCAAATTGGACCGCATTTAATAAAGTGGCCAATAATACCAAGCATTATATTAAAAGGGCAATTGGTTCAGTTGCTGCTACCTGTTATCTTAATAAACCCAATTGTCAGTATAGCATGCCATCTAGTGGGAAAATAAAGTTACAAATATATAGAAATAAAAATCCCAGAATTGCTGCTTAGATGCCACTTTGATCTATATACAGTATTTCTAATGCGCTTGTCAATGTATTTTTAATTGGAATGGACCACCTGGTAATTTTAGTCCTGCCCCACTGCATTGTAGCAGAACTTCTTATATATACGGTTTCTTTTTTCCTTTCTTATTTTTTAAATACATAAATATATTATTCAAATTCACTGAAGCCCTGTGAACATAATTCCCCATGGCCCTTTGCCTGTGATACCTCTTCCAAGACATGGAGCTTATGCCCCAGGCAAAGTAGTGGACAATCAGTTTATTTGTTTTCCCATTTAAAGAAAGCTCTTTTTCATAACTACAACCAAAGATATAGATACCATCTTGCGTTAACCTTAGTAAATTTGTAAGGAGGTCAGGTATCACAGGCATAGGTGTAGTATGAAAACCTAGATGGATAGTAGGGAGACAACATCAATGAGACTTAAACATGTGCTTAAATGCTTTGCTGAATCGGGTAGTTTGGTGCATTGGTGAACAATTTTAAGAGCCCTGTGCTAGAAATGTTTATCCTGTGTTTCTAGAAATGATACAAATTATTGGTTACATATGTTGGTGGTCATTTTCTGTCATTTGAAGTGGTAAGGGAAGAAGGGAGACCTTTAGGGAGAGTTTGGATATGTGTGTAATATTTTTGACTTTAGATGTGTTTCTAAGAGTCTCAGCGATAAGTCACCTTAAGGAGGGATAATTTAATGGCTCTCACGAGGGAATATTCAGTCAATTTTCTTTCAGAGTAGCAGCCGTGTTAGTCTGTATCCTCAAAAAGAAGAACAGGAGTACTTGAAGTGGGCTGTAGTCCACGAAAGCTTATGCTCTAATAAATTTGTTAGTCTCTAAGGTGCCACAAGTACTCCTGTTCTTCTTTTAGTCAATTTTCTCCTCAGTTTGGCGGTAGAATTTTTTAACATGGAGCTGTGAGGAGCCTCTTCCTTCACATCATGAATGAAGTTTAAAGTTGCCCAGTTACAATCAAAAGTATTAGAAAATATAAAATTTAGTTTGTTTTTTCTTGTTAAATTTGTAGTTTAATATATAACTGTCTGTCATTAAAATGTATACCATAAAATTATACAGGGTGTGTAAAGAGGTTGACCTGATGTTGCTGTTGGAATTTTTAAGTTTTGCTTTTCTTGACTTTTGTGTATTTTTTTTTTTTTAATTGTGCAATGTTAACATTGCATTCCTATAGGCTTTTGCATTTAATTCTATTAGGTCAATAAAATGGATGAAGGCTATTAATAAAAAATGTATACTTGTATATGATCAACAATTAATATCAGTTTGCTGTTGTGTATTGCAGGTGTTAGAGACCCATATATTTCACTCGTTTCTTAAAGCTCGTCTGAACAGAAAGATGGATGCTTTTGCTCGTCTTGAGTTGAGCACTCAGTCTGAAGAAGATAGGTAAAATTTTCTCACTACAGTTTACCACAGACTTGATTTTCCTTCCATTGAAATCAATGCAAAAAAGTCTTAGAATGATAGTGATGTAGGATCATGTCCTATATATACATAAGTTCTTCAAGGAGTGTCTCTGTGGGTGCTCCACTTTGGGTGTCTTGGCGCCCTGCGCTTGTAATTGGAGATTTGTAGTAGCAGTGCTTGCTTGGGCCGCACACGTGCCGTAGCTGTCTCGCGCAACTCCGAGCAGTTACATGGCGGTGCGCAGCCAACTGTCCCCCAGTTCCTTCTCTACTGCCTGTGCCTTGAGTTGGAGTGACAGCAGTACCCTCTCTTACTTTAGATAAATTAACAGTTCATAGCTGTTCCCGATAGTGTTAGCTTAGTTGTAGTTACCCTATCCCCTTGTCCTTTATATTTTATGTTTTACTTAATTTTTCTTAAAAATATATATATATAATTCCCTTCCCTCTTTTATTCCTGCCTCCCTGGCAGGTACTCAGCTCTTGCCTTGAAGAAAAAAAAAAAGAAAAGAAAGAAAAACAGGGTTTATCCCTGTTCTTTCTCCAAAGGACTTTCTCTTTCAGGCAAGCCTAGCTCACCAGGCCTTAAACACTGCCCAACTTGCAGACTCTCCATACCAGGGTCTGATGGCCACGCACAGTATGTCAACTGCCTTGGCAAGACGCACATTACCCAAAAATGTCCACACTGTTGAAAACTGACAGGAAGGACAAGGAAGGCCAGGGATCTCCAATTGAAGCTCCTTATGATGGAGAAATCCCTCAGACCAGCCTCTGACCTTGAGTCCAGGACGCCTCCTGGCCAACAGTTGCCAGCGGCAGCGTTTGACAGGGGATCTGATTCAACAACGACTGCTAAGGAGCCTGCTTCTAGAAAGGCTACCAAAAAGTGGCCCCAAACATCCCCACACTGAGAATCACCTAAAAGAAAGTGATCTCCAAATGAAAAATCTGCCCCGGTACCGATGGCACCGAGAGTGCTGGACCGCGAGGCACTGGGAACGTCCGGTGCCGAAACTTCCCGAGAAGCTAAAGGCCGTATGTGGGCAAGCTCTGATGCAGGTGCACGTAGAAAAGTCTGATCTGAAGAAAACCTCGGCACCGAGCAGTACAATGGCGCCACCTGCTGTACCTATGTACCACAGCTCTAAGTCGTCGGCACTGAGCTTCAACTCTTAATTTGTGGTCAGTGCACGATGCCTTCCCGGCACCAAGCTTCACGGTCCCGCAGTATTTCATGAGGCACGTGGACCTGATAGCGGCTTCAATGCCTGAATCTCCTCTACTCGGTACTGACAGTACCCCGTCTAGACTGGGACCAAGCCTGGTAACCATTCCCTGTGGATCAGCACCTCCTATCTCCAGTGATGAGGAAGAAGAGGATGAGGCAGTAATATACATTCCTTGTCTAAACCTGGACTTTCTCATCACCAAACATCTACAGACATGTGGGGCTGGTATGATCAACCATGGGCACTGCCCCCTATACCAGTGGTCTCCAAAGAGGAGTGCCGCCGGAGCAGTGTCGCTTTGGCAGTTCGGGCAGGAGTCTGCTTGGGGTGGCAAAAATGATAGAGCCGGCCCTGTGGCGCGGCAGGGGGTGCGTGCTCAAAAATATTTTACTGACGGGTGCATGATCAAAAAAGTTTGGAGACCACTGCCCTATACCATTCCCATCCAGCTGGCCATACTGGGATCCATGGGCAATGTAGAGGGTCCAAAATCTCAGGCCTCCGAACCTGCTTAGGTTCAGAACAACACTGTCCCCTTCTCCAACTGTCCCAGCGCCCTCAGAGACACAAGAGGAAGAGACCTTGGAGCCTGAGGACACAGCTGAAGGTGACACTCTGCAGCCCACTCACATCTCATCTTTGTCACTGGATGAAACGATAATGCCCCCCCGCTTCCCCCACTATGGGGGATGATTTCAAATCTTTTCAAGACCTCTTCAGAAGGGTAGCTGAATCTCCCTGGACATTTCACTAGCACAACTACCAGAGACCCAACACAAGCTCATGGACATACTCCAGGTATCCTCAGTGGCAAAGATACCTCTGCCAATTAATGATGCTATCATGGAGCCTGCAAAAATAATCTGGCAGACACCCACTACAGCCTCTCTTGTGTAAGAGATCTTACAAAAAGTATTACGTGCCAGCAAAAGGAGCTGAATTTTTATTCATCCACCCCACACCAAACTCTCTCGTGGTGGATGCGATCAACCAAAGGGGAAAACAACACCAGTCCAGAATGACCCCATATGATAAGGACTGGAAAAGGCTAGATTTCTTCGGATGGAAAACCTACTCCTCCGCGACACTCCAGTTCTGCATATCCAATTATGCGGCCCTACTGGCAAAATAAGCACACAATCTGTTTGTGAAAATGTCAGAATTTGTTGAAAGTTTACCTGATGACATAAAAGAGCAATATAAGGCAAATGTTTCTGAAGGGCGTCTCTTCACCAGGACGGCCCTACGGGCCTCTCTTGACTCTGCAGACAGGGCAGCATGGTCCATTGCAACATCCATGGTCATGTGCCGTGCATTCTGGCTCCACCTTTCCGGGTTCCCACCTTCCCAAGGGAGATCCAAGCCACTGTTGAAGACTTATCCTTTTGAAGGGTAAAAATTATTCGCAGACAAAACCGATGTCTCTCTACGCACCTTAAGGACTCAAGGGTGAACTTAAAAACCCTGGGCATATACATACCTGCAAATAAAAAGAGAGAACAGGTTTTACAACCAGAGATTCCGGTCTACACCATACTTCCAGCCACAAAGACTATTTCAGTTTACACCAGGCCTGCACAACATGCGGTGCGGGGGCCGCATGCGGCCCGTGTGGGCTCACTGTGCGGCCCGCGTGGGGTGAGTAGGTGGGCTCACTGTGCGGCCGGCGGGGGGTGAGTAGGCAAGCGGCGGGTGAGGGAGGGGGGCCAAGGAGGCGAGTGGGCAGTGGCGGGGGGTGAGTAGGCGAGCCGAGGGGGTGGGGACTGAGGAGGCGAGCGGGCAGGCAGTGGCGGGGGTGCAGGTGAGCCGGCGGTGGGGGAGGGAGGTTGAGGAGGCAAGCAGTGACTTGATGGCTGACCTGGTCTACTGATCTGGTCTGGCTCCCATTCCCTCTCCAAGGGTTGCAGCTGTCTGTAGGTGCTGCCTTCCATGCCTTCCTCATTCACACGTCATTCATTCAACAGGGCAATTGATTACAAAGTGAGGGGAAGATCTTATTCTACTTCTAGCAAAAAGACATTTTTCTTTTACCTTAATTATACTACCTTAGGAGCCCGCTATAACATATTACAAAGGTTCAATACTGCTGTTTTTTAAATTAATGGAGATATCCTATCTCCTAGAACTGGAAGGGACCTTGAAAGGTCATTGAGTCCAGCCCCCTGTCTTCACTAGCGTGACCAAGGACTGATTTTTGTCCCAGATCCCTAAGTGGCCCCCTCAAAGATTGAGCTCACAACCCTGGGTTTAGCAGGCCAATGCTCAAACCACTGAGCTATCCCTTCCCCCCTTCCCCAGTGGTGCTGGGGGAAGGAGGGTTTGTTTCCGCGGGGCGAGCGGCACTGTGGGGGGGTGTTGTGTTTCAGGGGGGCTTGGTAGCGCTGGGGGGGGGGGTTCGGCAAGGGCCGGGGGGGGGGTTCGGCCCTCAGCTGTTTTCTTTGGAGTAATATGGCCCTCGCCACTTTACGAGTTGTGCAGGCCTGATTTACACCATACTTTCAGCCCAAAAGACAGTACAACCAACAGCATAAACAAAACCAGAACGGATGTCGGCAGAACCAAGATCAATCTTCAATGTCTCAATCATCCACCTCCAGACAATCATTTTAAAGGTGTGGTCAAGGGCACGAGACCTTCACACTCTCTAGTTCCAGAACCAGATACGGTCCCCCACCCATTCGGAGACCGTCTGTCACCATCCTACGCAGTCTGGAACACCATCCCGACAGACAAATGGGTTCTAGAGATTATCCAGAAGGACTACTCCATCCTCTTTATTTCTGTCTCGCCTACCCAACCCTCTTCCCCGTCCCTCTTCAAGGAACCCCTCTCACGAGGACCTGTTATAACAGGAAATAAACCACCTCGTACAATTAGGTGCCATGGTACCCATACCATCCCAACACTGGGAGAGATTTTTATTTCCATTACTTTCTAACTCGGAAAGAGAATGGCAGGTGGAGACCCATTTTGGATTTACAAAAACTCAACAAATTCGTGAGAACATGATGATTCAAAATGATGAAACTAACCACAATAATTCAGGCATTAGAGAAAGGAGATTGGCTCTCAGCCCTTGACCTCCAGGATGCTATTTTCATATTACTATTCACCCATCACACAGAAGATTCCTGAAATTCACCCTAGGGAATCAGCATTTCCAATACCAAGTACTACCCTTCGGCCTGTCCACTGCCCTAAGAGTTTTTTCCAAGGTTCTTGGTGTCATTGCAGTTCACCTCTGCAGACAAGGAGTGATGATCTTTCCATACTTAGACGACTGCCTGCTAAGGGCACCAACGCAGCAAGGAGCAATAAACGCCACGCAGACCATGATAACCCTGTTCACTGACCTAGGGTTGCAAATAAATGTACAAAAGTCCACATTAGTTCCTGTCCAAAAGTTGGAATTCACAGGGGCCTACCTCGATTGTCTCACAGCAACATTACCCCGACAACACTTCCTCACTCTTGTCAACCTAATTTCAATGGTGATGGACAGCCCACAAACATCTGCCAGAACATGCTTACAACTCTTGGGGCACATGTCTGCAACAACCTTTGTTCTAAAATATGCCGGACTCCACATGAGATCCTTACAGGCATGGCTTCGAACAGTGTATACTCAACACATGCCTCACGATGCCATGCAGGGTAAAAGACTTGCTAACACGGTGGACAGACAACGTCTGCTCAGGAGTTCCTTTCCAACAAAAAGTTCCAACCATGACAATCACGACAGACGCTTCCTTACTTGGTTGGGGGGCACATCTAGCGACAATACAATCTAACACTGCTGGTCCCCAGCGGAGTCCAACTTGCACATAAACTTATTGGAGCTAAGGGCATTCTGAAATGCATAAAAGCACTTTCTCCCTTTAATCAAAAACAATGCCATCAAGATCCTTATGGAAAATATAGCATGCATATTCTATATAAATCGCCAAGGGGAAACAGGATCATACCCCTTATGTACAGAGGCAATATGCCTTTGGAATTGGTGCATCACGAACAACACAGAGATATCGGCATCCTATGTGCTGGGATTTCAGACTACAACAGAGGATCAACTAAGCAAGGATTTTTCACAAACCCACGAGTGGGAGATGGATCCCGGAATTCTCAAAGCCATATTAAAACTGTAGGGGTTCCCCACTATAAATCTGTTTGCAACAGCTCAGAACGCCAAGTGCCTGAATATTGCTCCCGGGCCAGATTGGGACACCACTCCCTAGGCGACACACTCCTAAACTGGGAAGTGCAACTGATGTATGCATTTCCCCCAACTCCTCTTAAGCCAAGTCATTGACCAGATCAGGCAGGACAAATCCAGGATCATTCTCATTGTACCCACGTGGCCCAGACAAATGTGGTTCCCATACCTGTGTTAGATGGCAGTGAAACCACCTCATACCCTTCCCTTAGTGCCTCACCTTCTATCACAAGATGCGGGATGCGTCTGTCACCCCAACTTCGCAGTACTCCACCTCAAGGCCTGGTTACTTACTCCATGGCTGATGGGGGGTCGAGAAAGACTGTTCTGAGGAAGTGAAATATACTACTGAGCAGTCAGAGACTAAGCACAAGAAAGACACATATCCATAAGTGGAAACAATTCTGCACTTGGTGCCAGGGCAAACAGTTCTGTCCAGTCTGCCCCACTACCAAGAATCCTCAACTATATACTGGGGCTTAAAAAATCAGGGCTATCCATGAGCTCCATCGGAGTACACTTGGCTGCCATCACCCCTTTCCATGACAAGGTGGACGGAGTCACTATATTTGCTCACCCGACGATTAAACGCTTCCTTAAAGGCATAGAAAACACTTATCCCACCCTAAGAAACCCTACATCCATGTGGGACCTCAGCCTTGTTCTTTGCGGTCTTACAGGAAAACCGTTTGAGCCCCTTGCAACTTGCTCCTTGTTGCACTTCTCTGTGAAGGTGTCTTTCCTCATTGCTATCACGTCCGCAAGACGGACGGGAGAATTAGGTGCCCTAATGGCACATCCATCTTATACAAATATTCTTCAATAATCCTACGATCGCACCCCAAGTTCATACCCAAGGTTGCCTCCCCTTTTCATTTAAATCAGCCCATTTACTTACCTGTATTTTTCCTAAGCCACATGCTGATGGGAGGGAGGCCATTCCACATGCTAGATGTTTGCAGAGCATTAGCTTTCTACATAAAAAGAGCAAAAACATCCAGAAAATCACCTAGACTATTCGTTTCCATAACCGAATGCTTGAGGGGCCAAACCATCTTAAAACAGACTATCCAAATGGGTATCTGGATGTATCCATTTGTGCTACCGAAACAATAATCTGCAACTCCCACTGGGAGTCTGTGCACGCTTCACCAGAGCGTTAGTAGCATCTGTGGCCTTTCTAAATAATGTACCTATCATTGACTTTTGCAAAGCAAGTATCTGGACATCAGCCCATACTTTCACTAAACAATGTGTGTTAGAACAACAATCATCAGCAGAGGCTCAGTTTGGACTTATGGTATATCCACCATCAATAAACCAACTCCAAAGCCCCTACCCTCCACTGAGGGGCACTGCTCAATAGTCACCTAAAGTGGAGCACCCACAGGAACACTCCTCGAAGGAGAGGATTACTCACCTTGTGCAGTAACTGAGGTTCTTCGAGATGGTTGTCCATGTGGGTGCTCCACTACCCTCCCTCCTCCCCTCTATTTTGGAGTTTCCAGCCGATTCTCTGGGGTAGAGAAGGAACTGGGGGATGGTTGGCTGCACACCGCTATGTAACCGCTCAGAGCAGTGCGAGACTGCTACAGTGTGTGTGCGGCCCAACTGGGCACTGCTACTACAAATCTCCAATTACAAGCACAGGGTGCCAAGACATTTAAAGTGGAGCACCCACAGGGACAACCATCTCGAAGAACCTCAGTTACCATACAAGGTGAGTAGCTTTGTCTTTCTAGGTAATTGATGCGCCATCTTTTATGAAACTTTTGTCACATCCTTTGCAGTAAATTGGCGATAGTCGGAGTGCTGTGAGTTGGTAGGTGTTACTATAATACAAAAAAGAGCAATAATAATAAATTACAATTTATCTTCATTTATGCTGCTGCATAGTATAATATGTGTAAAATGTAATTAAAAATTGTTTTCTTCAGACTAAATTCAATGCTTGATAGCCCAAGAAGACTGACTGTGGAGAAAATGGCTTCTAAAAGATTTAACCCTCAGTATATGATTAGTAAACGTATGGTAATAAGTATGCCTAATCTACAAGATATTAAGCCTCATGATAGTCCTGCTAGGACTTCATCACTCCGAAGATCAGAGACAGAGCATGGTAAGAAAAATGTATCTAACAAGTACATTATCTTGTGATATCATGGACCAGGTATTTGGGTGCTCACTCGCCTGGTGTGGCTCACAGTTTAGTGCGCCAATCTCTGGTCAGACTGTCAGAAAACAGGGCAGACACCCGAAGTGGTGGTATATTCTACAATTAGATTTCACCAAGCCAGCCATGAATGTGGATTCCTGAAGCACCAAACTAGTTTTACCATAGAGCCATAGACAGTCACCGTAGACACTCCAGCCTATAGTACCACTCTCACAAACTGGACTTTATGATGAAAGGTTATTTAAACCAAATTCACCACACATCAGGTTCTTCCAGCCCTCTGGGGCAAGTCACTTACCCAGGTCAATCGGTACTTCAAATCACACACCAAAAACAACACTGTAGCCAATCCTTAGTAAACTAACTAAGATTTATTAACTAAGAAAAAGAAATGAGTTATTAAATATTTAAAGCAGATAAAATACATTACAGTTGGATCAGAGTATATAGTGCAAAATAATATCAGGGATGTTAAATCTGCTAGTTTTCTATGAGTCTCTCTGGGTTGCCCAGATAGATTGGGGACCTCAGTCCTGTTGTTCAAAATTTCCCTTTGTTAAAATTCAACATTCCAGAGATGTGGTAGGAAAGAGGAGGCTACGGGCTTTTGTCCACTCCTTTTATATCTTGACCCCTTTTAGCTGGAAAAATCCTGGCTGTGTTACATATTACAGGTAGCTTCATGGCGTACAGTGCTCTGTCATCCATCCTTCATCTGAATTGCAGATTCTAGCTTGCACCTTTGCCAAAGTGCCATGTGAGCTATCTTCAGGGACAACATGCAGACACCTTAGTTTACAACTCCTTTGTTATTTCTAAAGAGTTAACCCAGGGGTCTTAAACTCAAATGACCACGAGGGCCACATGAGGACTAGTACATTGGCCCGAGGGCTGCTTTACTGACACTTCTCCCCCGCCAGCCTTGGCCCTGCCCCCACTCCACCCCTTCCATGAGGCCCCACCCCACCCCGCCTCTTCCCACCCCTTCCCTGACCCCATTCCAACCCCTTCCTCGAAATCCCCACCCCAACTCCGCCCTCTCCCTGCCCCCAGGGGCAGCAGGAGGGATGTGGGGTGTGGCGGGGGCTCAAGGCAGGGAGGTGGGGTGTGGGGTGCAGGAGGGGTGAGGGGTGTGGCCGGGTCAGGTTGCAGGGTAGGGCAGGGGGTTGGGCTGCAGAAGGCATGCGGAGTGCGGCAGGGGACTCAGGGCAGGGGGTCGGGGTGCAGCAGGGGGCTCAGGGCAGGTGGTTGGGATGCAGGAGGGTTGTGCCCTGTGGCAGGGGGCTCAGGGCAGGGGGTTGGGATGCGGCAGGGGGTTGAGGTGCAAGAGGGGTGCAGGGTGTGGCAGGAGGTCGGGGTGCAGCAGGGGGCTCAGGGCACGGGGTTGGGGGGCAAGAGGGTGCAGAGTGTGGCAGGGGGTTGGGGTGTGGCAGGGGGTTTGGCTGCAGGGGGTGTTCGGGAGGCGCAGCCAATGGGAGCTGCTGGGGGCGGTGCCTGAAGCAAGAGCAACACACAGACCCCGGTGCCCCGCCTCCCCCAGGTTCCGGCCGCTTACTGGAGTGGCGCGGGGGCAGGGCAGGGCAGGCAGGCAGGGAGCCTGCCCTGCCCCCAGTGCGCGTCGTGCCGGAGCCACTCTAGGTAAACGCTGGGAGGGGCCGGGGGGCTGCGAGGAGCTTGCGGGCTGCAGAAAATAACCCAGCGGGCCGTGAGTTTGAGACCCCTGAGCTAACCTGTGGGTGTTTCTCAGAACCACAACATGTTTAAGATACAAACACACATAAAAATTTCATAACCTCACATGCAATGTCTTGTACTTAATACAAAATTTATCACAATTTTGCAACAGGACCGTATTAGTGTAGATGGTCACCTTCCTTTCTATACAGTATCACACTGACCATGTAAACACAGCGGAAGTCAGGAGGTGGTAACAAAATCGTGCATGAAGTTGTGACTTGCATCATCCTGAACCTTTGGCTGCTCTGTGCTCAGAATTGTGCTATCCTGTAACCACCACAAGGGACTGAACACCTACTGAGTGTTGTCATTGTGGGGCTGCTTCCTGGACCAGTTACTGTGTCCATTTATCCTTTCCCACCAGGGCCGGCTCTAGGTTTTTTTGCCGCCCCATGCAAAAAAATTTTTGGCTGCCCCCCGTCCCAGCCCTAGTCTCCTCGCTGCCCACCCTGCCGCCCCAACCCTGGGCTCTTACCCCCCGACCCACACCCCCCTGCTGCCCCAGCTCTGGGCTCTCACCCCCCCCACCCGCACCCCCCTGCCGCCCCAGCCCTGGGCTCCCCCTACCCC